TTGTTTTTTTGACTTGTTTTCTCATCTTCTTCTCTCAACAGGTGATCCAGGAGATTTTTTTCTCTTCTTTCTCTTTTTAAGTTTCCTCTCTCACTGTCCCTCTTCCCTTCTGTTTTTCTTTTCATTCCTCTTTCTTTCTCCCTTTCCGATCCCTCAGTCATGTCTGTCCCGTCTGTGTGTCTCTGTGTAGGTGACTTCCTGCCAGTCATAAAAGTAATCTCCTCTCTCAAGCTACACCAAATTCCTTTACAAAACATACAAAACAGAGTTAACATTTTACAAACACTGAGACCCCCACTCTACAGATAAGGTGGAGAGTCTCCTGCAAACCTACTTCTAAGTTATGACAATTATGAGCTTTTATTAAAGGTATAAGCATCAGCAATCCCCAACTGTAGTGTTGGAGCTATTTGCTCTTATTTTTTTTCTTATTTTGAAATGAGTTAAAGTTTGTTGTTAGTTTACTTATATTTTGGGATTTATTTACAAGTTTATTTGTCGGTTAATATTTTGTTTCAATGTTTGTTTGATGTTACTTTGTTAAATTAGTCAGTAAGAGCTGTGGGGCCATTTTGTTTCTATAAATAAAGAGACTGGTATAGGACCAGCTTGCACTGGGGTGGGCCTATGGTTTTTTACCAGAGCAGGAGAAGCAGCAGGAAGTAACAAAAAATGGATCTTGCTATTGCCAAACTGGATAAATAAACCATAAAAACGCAACTTTCAAGTTTGGACAGTGGACTTCTTTTGCCTGCGTACGAAATATTATCTCAGTGCAGCAGTGGCTTGTGGACTTTTAACTGTGGGATGTTTGGTTTGTCAAACAAAAGGAATTGCCACTACATGTGTTAATTACATAAATAAGATGTAATTTTCTCTGTAGCACTTCATGGATTTAAGCATCACACCTTAGTTGTTCACACAAAGCATAAAGGTAAAAAACAATATATACAGTGTTATCTTCATTTTAGATGTCAAAAAGTATTTGTGGCTCCCAGTGTTTTCTTTTGCGTGGAAACCGGCTCCAAATGGCTCTTTGGGTGTTAAAGGTTGCCGACCCCTGGTTTAGTGTTTTCGCGATCGCGTCGCGCATGAGAATATCACCAGGTAAACTCGCGACAGTTTTATACATTTTGTTGTTCAACAGCATCAAGACTGACGGAGTGTGTTTGAGACAACCTCACAAGTGTCACGGGTGACACATTTGGCGTTTTTTTGCTGGTTTGTCGGTAGCAGCTCCTGAAACGCAAGTCTATACCCATCTACAGTGTTGGGTGTCAGTTAAATAAATGAAGATGAATGCGTCTTTAGTTTACGCGCGGTCCCTGAATCCATCACTCAACTCAGAACAAGGAAGCAGAGAGGAGCAGACACGGAGAGGAATATTCGGGGCAACGGAGGGGAATAAATCTGAGTTTATTCCGGACAAGATGACTTCATTTGGATTAAAATGTTCGTGATCGCAGTTCTGGTCCTTGTGGGGACGGGACTGACGGTAAACAGCGGTGAGTTTTAGTGTTTTTACACTTGTTCGTGTGACGGGCTCAAATCGGAAGTAAAATGTGGCGTCGTTTAAAAATTGAGTTGAACTTGTATAAAGTTGTTATGCATTTATTTTCAGCTAAGTTGACTTTTAGGTATGTTTGTTTAAATGTTGAGGTCATTCATTAGTTTCAGTCTTACTTCCGGTTTAATGTTGCAAATTATGTGTCAGAGAGAAGGTTTAGGAAGTTGATACCGGATGTTTTTAAAATGGCGCTTAACCCTGATCACAGCTCTCTGCAGGGTTAAAGAGATCTGTGCAGAGGACAGCACCGTGCTCTGTCCTCACTAAATGACAAACAGATCACATCTGTGCTGCTGAGGAGCTCTCTGTGTTTCTCCCTCATGTTTCAGGAATATTCTACACTTCTCTGTTTTAATGAACAGAGGCAAGTTAGTTAAGAAACACAAGCAGAAAGGTGATCAAAATTAAGCATCTGTCCTCCCTCCCAGCCTGAACTCCATTTACAAATACAGGGACAAGATTTATTTCTGACCTGCACAGTTTGAAAGAAGCAAGAACAGAAAAATCGTTCAGTTCCAAACTGTGACAGAAATAACACAGCTGATTATTTACTGCTGCTCACTGATTGTTCATGACTGAAATAGCAAAGGGCCAGAGCTTCTGATCCATGCATCTGCAAACATACCTGCCCAGTAAAAACATCAGAGCTCATCCATCCTGCTCCTGTGTTTTCCCACCTATGTGACTTTCAGAGACTCACTCCCTCACCTACATCTACACGGCGCTCTCCAAACCTGTCGGCCTCCCGGGCATCCACGAGTTCACAGCCATGGGTTTGCTGGACGACAGGATGATCGACTACTTTGACAGCGAGAATCAGGTGAAAGTTCCCAGACAGGAGTGGATGAGAGAGCGTTTACCTGCTGATTACTGGGATATAGGCACACAGTCCCGCAAGAGCAAGCAGCAGTGGTTCAAGGTCAACATCGACATCCTGATGGAGCGAATGAGGCAGAATGACTCAGCCAGTAAGTCTTTGCTGTGTTTTAATGATTTAATCACTCAGGTAACAAACTCTGAATGATCAATGATCAATAACGAAGCATGAAATGAACTGAATTAAACTGTCTGTAGAGGAATGTAATAGCTTGAAGTTCCTCAACTCAGGAACAAATTGTTCCTGCTTACTGGTTTAAATTAAAATGTTCATATTTTCTCCTCTGATGTTTATTTAAACATTTATTTATTTCACCCTCCTGCTTTCAGACCCTCACGTTCTTCAGAGGATGGTGGGCTGTGAGGGTGAAACTCAGCCTGACGGCACGCTCAGGTTTGTCCGAGGCAAGCACATGTACGCCTATGATGGAGACGACTTCCTCTCCTTTGATGATAAAAATGGAGTCTGGGTCGCTCCGATTAAAGAGGCACTTCTCACCAAGAGGAAGTGGGACAGCGTCCAGGTGCTGAAAGAGTACACCAAGGGATACCTGGAGAACGAGTGCATCGATTGGCTGAGCAAGTTTGTGTATTATGGACAGAAGCAGCTCAAACAGAAATGTATGTTTGTCATAAATATTAGTATTATTAGTCCACATGTGCCAAGCCTTACAGAAAGTGTTGAATATTGTTACGGTTTAATAATATTCACAAATTAAATCCAAATGACTAAAGTGTCAAACACCTACGTCCTCACGTGCACATCCATTCAGCACCGTCTGGAAAAGATTAAACTTTTAAAGTCTTAAATGGAACTCCAGACTCTGCCGTTCCAGTCGAATCATAACTGAGTGTAATTAAAGTATAAATGATAAAGTATAGTTCTGAGACAATAGACCCTGATTAGCCAAACGGCAGCCATTTGGACATGAAGCAGTCAGCAAACCCAGGTGTTGACTAAATGGAGCACAGCCTTCATTATTATTAACACCACATGTTTGACGACTGCTGTTACAAAGGCAGTGAGCCCCGCCGTCTGTTTGTATGCACGATATTCACTGCATCGTGGAAAGTCTTACTGTAACAAAGTACTGAAGGTGCCAGCTGATTCCATGAGTTAATCAGTGTTACAGTTACCACATGTTACCACACAGTTTTCCATTTCCTGCTTCCAGCTCCACCTGAGGTGTACGTGTTTGCAAAGAAGGCCAGAGTGGAGGCAAACCTCATCCTGACCTGCCTCGCCACAGGCTTCTACCCCAAAGACATCATCATGAGGATCAGAAGGAACGGACGTGTTCTGACTGCAGACGACGGCCTGACGAGCTCAGACATTCTTCCAAATAACGATGAGACCTTCCAGAGACGCGACCATGTGGAGATTCTGAAGTCTGACCTGTCAAAGTTCAGCTGTGAAGTCGTTCATGAGGCGACTGGTGTGGATGTTACAAAGACTTGGGGTAAGAAACTTTATTTATTGCCTCTGTTGTTGATCATAACTCTGTTTCTTCAGTCAGAGCCTGGAGCTCCTCTGTGTCCAGCAGATCTGCATCATTCTGTCCTGATCACAGTCCTGAGGTCAGATCCATGTCAGTCCATCTAGAACTAAGCTAGCATGTCACATGTAGCCCAGCTCTGCAGCCCTGAAGAAGCAGAGGAGCGATCTCCTCCAGAGCATCACTGAATAGTTGCAGATATGAACAGTTTCAGTGCCGTCCCCTCTCACTGACCTCCTGCTGCTGCTCCACATCACTGCTGTCAGATCACTGACTCCATCATGACTGTGGCTTCAAATCTACATCTCAGTAACAAACAGCAGCAAATAACTGACAGTGCCCTCAACCTGAAGCTTGTGTCTGTGTTTCAGAGAACGGTGACCCTCCGGAGGGACATGAACCTGGAGCTCCGATCGCTGGTGTAGTGGGAGGACTCTTGGCTCTGGTTGCTCTGGTTGCTGGAGTTGTGGGTCTGATCTTGTATCTTAGTAAGTCCAGTGTGCTGTTGTGTGTAATTATTGTTGAGTGGAGTTAAAATGTTTGACTTTGTGTCCTGTAAAAATGAAACTGTCCTGGTCTCAGACAGTGATGACATGGAGCTGTTACTGATCATCACATTTGAAACACATGAAGAAAATCATTGAAATGATTGTAAGAAATGTTGAGTATCAGCTGCTCCAGTCCTTCAGCCTTCAAACACTTCACTTAGTATTTTATTAGGACTCCATGAGGGGGTCAAAGGTCACAGTCACGTGACATGATGTCAGACTTTCCTGTCTGCAGCTTCTGATCCAATAACTTTGAGCCCTCTGGGACATAAATGTAGTTTTTCTGTGCAGAACAGAAATGATTGATGTTTGCTGATAGTGTGCAGCTCGTTTCCTCCACCGTCTCCACTCAGACACATCTGCATGTAGAACAAACCACTGAGTTCATCCATCATCACTGACAGTCTGTGTTACGTCTGTTTACAGGACGCAGACGCAGAGCCAACGACAACCAAGGTAACATCTTTATTTTTCTCTTATGAAGTTTGATGCCTGCATGTGTGTGTGTGTGTGTGTACTTGTCTAGCTATCTTTGTGAGGACTGAAATCTGCATTCTACTTAACTTGTGAGGACACACAAACCGGTCCTCACAAGTTTGAAGGCTTTTTTTGAGGCTCAAAATGTGGTTTTAGTGTCAGGGTTACAATTAGGTTATGGTCAGGGGCTAGGGAAACCATTATGTCAATGAAGGTCCTCACTAAGATAGCTGAATGGGGTTGTGTGTGTCTGTGTGTGTGCAGGCAACAGCAGTGGTAAGTTTGTTACTCTGCAACAATTCATATAGAAAAGATTGTACAAGATGAGCTGTAACATTTTGTGTGTATGTGTGTGTTTAGGCAGCAGCAACCCAGCAGGCACGCCTCTTATGACAGGTAAGTGTTTCCTTGTGCAGAGATTTTCATACATACAGCAGTGTAGCAGATGAGTTTAAATATTGTGTGTGTGTGTGTGTGTGTGTGTGTGTGTGTGTGTGTGTGTGTGTGTGTGTGTGTGTGTGTGTGTGTGT